GCTGTGGTTGGCCATGCGCGGCGGCGGGGCCTGCGTGCCGCCGGTGGTGCGCGTCATGCGGCGTCCGCTCGGGCGGGGGGGCCGTTGGCGGGCGCGGGGGAGATACGGCGGCGTCGCGGCGGACGCTATCTCGGGCGGCATCTCCCGCGCGCGCGGCCCGGCGCGCGCTCCGATTTAGCGGGGCGCAATATCTCCGCGTGCGGGAATTGGCGGTGTAAGGACGCGATCGTGACCCTCCGTGACGCTGCGCCGGGCGCGGAAAGCGGAGCCGAGAAGACGCGCACCTGCGCCCGCAACGACCCCACCTGTATGATACAGACAAAGCGGTGACGGGGCGCACCATACAGGCTGTATGGTACACGTGTACGCCCCGTCACCGCTTTCCAGGAGGCGGCCCGCCGCACCTGCTCGCCGAAGCCCTCAACACGGCTGCGGCGCTGTAGAAAGTACCAAACTTTCTACAATGTATAGGATGCACTTTTGCGCATTACAGTGCTGTACGGTTGGGATTTCTCCTTATTTTTCGTGAAAAATAGCTGTAAACAGCTCGATGAGCGGCAGCGACAAAATGCGTGCACGCGTAAAGTTTACACGGCCTCTGCTCTCGAGCGCCCCGCAGCTTCTCCACCGCCCGCGCTGTCCAATCGCCACGCACCGTCTTCTGTCCGTAGTACAGACAGAAGACGGTACGACCCTGTACGGACTCCGTACAGGGTCGTAAATTACCACCCCACCACCAGGGAGAACCCGACCAGCGCGCAGCCCTGCCTCACCTCCTCCTCTCTCCACCCTTGCATTGCATGCCCTCTGCACCCCCCCGCGCATCATCCCCGACGATAAGCAGAGCATCCATCCCTCCCGCAATACGCCATGTCCCCCTTCACCTATCCCCCCGGCGACCTAGTGCCCGCGGACTGGGAGGCGGTTTGGGAGAGCGGCGTCTCGCCGGGGGCCGCCTTCGACAAGGAGTCGGTACTGCCCGACCTGCAGGAGGCGCTCTCCTCGGGCTCTCTCCCGCGCGGCGGGCGCGTGCTCGTGCCCGGGTGCGGCCGCGGCTACGACGTGGAGGCGTTCGGGCGCAGCGGGCACTACACGGAAGTCATCGGCGCGGACGTGTCCGCGACGGCCGTGACGGCGGCCAACGCGTACCTGCGCGGCGCCGGGGCGCCCGCGGCGTGCCGCGTCGTGCGCGCCGACTTCTTCGACACCGACCTCCTTTCCAGCTCCAGGTCGTCTACGACTACACCTTCTTCTGCGCCATCCCGCTCGCGCGCCGGCCCGCGTGGGGCGCGCGCATGGCCGCCCTCGTGCAGCGCGGCGGCGTCCTCGTCACGGGGCTCTACCCCGTCGGCAAGCCGCGCGCGGAGGGCGGCCCGCCGCACGGCGTCGCCCCCGACGACTATGCGCAGGCGCTCACGGCGTTTCGCAAGGTCGAGCTGCGCCCCGTGCACCGCGCGCACAGCGGCAGGGAGGGCCGCACGTGGTGGGCCGTGTGGGAGCGCGTGTGACCGCGTGTGACCAAGGAGGGAGCGTCGGTGGAGGATGACGGCGTCGCCGGGGGGTGAGGTCAAATCCCATGAAATGTGTACGTTATGCAGCGCGTCCTCCGTGTTGTAGACAACACGGTTGACATCAACCGGGCCCAACGGCTTGGGCGGGGCAGCTTATTTTACATGCAAGCGTGAAATGAAAACACAAGTTATCACAGGGTATCATAGAGGCCTATCCTTCCGCATACGGTAGATTTCACGCGTACACGTGTAGTGAGTGGACGAAGGTCCACGGCATGCGCAGGCATGCTGACGGGCTGACGAGGATTATTCACTAGTTTTACTGTACAACGGCGGATGCTATTTCAAACTATCTTACGATTATTGCCCTTGCATAGGTGAGACGTTTGTTGGAGCGCGTCTGTACTGTAAACCGCGGATGCGCAACTTGTCCTTCGGCAGTTTGCTGCGTGGTTGTAGGCGGGGCATCGGGACCGGGGGCCGGATCGGGATCGGTCACGCGGGGCGTGCGCGAGTGTCAGCACTCGGATGTGCGCCCCGTCCCAGGGGCGCAGCCGGCGCGCGCGCCCGAGTGGAAGGAATCTCGGCCCAAAAAATCTCGCATCACGCTCCAAGCACCGCAGCGGGTGGCCACGCGCGGCCCCCCCGTCACGCTCGCCACCGCCCAGCACGCGCGCAGGGCCCCCCAACGACACCCGCCCTTCTCCACCGCCGTCACAGGCACATCACTTTCGAAACTGAACCCAACTCACAGCCACCCCCACCCCCGCTTTCCATACTAGTAAACCGTCTCCCCTCCCCACCTATCCGCCCATCCGCCCCCTCCGCGGAAAAAATATCCCCGCCTCCCCCATTT